CTCAACTGTTCAGGGTTCGACCTCTGCAGCAGGAAAATCCGGTTTGCTGTCTCTCTGACAGCCTCTTGTTTAACCGTAACTTCAGATTTTCGAACATAAACTACTCTGGAGATTTTCTTAAACGATGCGCCATTGTCTCCTCTACAATACCTATATAGTCGTTGCCCGTAACAATCTCTTGAAATTGGTCCAAAATTAACTTAAAGTGCCAAACCCCCCTTATCTCATTTTGTCAATTTCATAATTTCAGTTATTCAACCGTCACTTCAGATTTTCAAACATAAACCACTCTGGAGATTTTCCTAAACGATGCGCAAATGTCTCCTCTACAACACTTATATTGTCGTTGCCCGTCACAATGTCTTGAAATTGGTCCAAAATTAACTTAAATCGGCCTAACCCCCAAACTCATTTGTCAATTTCACAATTTCAGTTTCTTAACCGTAACTTCAGATTTTCCAACATAAACCACTCTGAAGATTTTCTTACACGATGCTCCATTGTCTCCTCTACAACACGTATACAGTCGTTGCCCGTCACAATCTCTTGAAATTGGTCAAAAATTAACTTAAATTGGCCTACCCCCAAATCTCATTTTGTCAATTTCACAATTTCAGTTTTTTAACCCTAACTTCAGATTTTCGAACATGAACCACTCTGGAAATTTTCTTAAACGATGGGCCATTGTCTCCTCTACAACACCTATATAGTCGTTGCCCGTCACAATCTCTTTAAATTTGTCCAAAATTAACTTAAATTGGCCTACCCCCCAAATCTCATTTTGTCAATTTCACAATTTCAGTTTTTTAACCGTAGCTTCAGACTTTCGAACATAAACCACTCTGGAGATTTTCTTAAACGATGGGCCAATGTCTCCTCTACAAAACCTATATAGTCGTTGCCCGTCACAATCTCTTTAAAATGGTCCAAATTGTTCTTTTAGTGCCCTAACCCCCTAATCTCATTTTGTCAATTTCACAATTTCAGTTTTTTAACCGTAACTTCAGATTTTCGAACATGAATCACTCTGGAGATTTTCTTAAACGATGGGCCAATGTCTCCTCTACAACACCTATATAGTCGTTGCCCGTCACAATCTCTTTAAATTTGTCCAAAATTAACTTAAATTGGCCTACCCCCAAAATCTCATTTTGTCAATTTCACAATTTCAGTTTTTTAAGCTAACTTCAGATTTTCGTACATGAACCACTCTGGAGATTTTCTTAAACGATGGGCCAATGTCTCCTCTACAACACCTGTATAGTCGTTGCCCGTCACAATTTCTTTAAATTTGTCCAAAATTAACTTAAATTGGCCTACCCCCCAAATCTCATTTTGTCAATTTCACAATTTCAGTTTTTTAACCGTAACTTCAGATTTTCGAACATAAACCACTCTGGAGATTTTCTTAAACGATGCGCCATTGTCTCCTCTACAACACCTATATAGTCGTTGCCCGTCACAATCTCTTGAAATTGGTCCAAAATTAACTTAAATTGGCCTACCCCTCTAATCTCATTTTGTCAAGTTCACAATTTCAGTTTTTTAACCGTAACTTCAGATTTTCGAAAATAAACCACTCTGGAGATTTTCTTAAACGATGCGCCAATATCTCCTCTAAAACACCTATATAGTCGTTGCCCGTCACAATCTCTTTAAAATGGTCCAAATTTTTCTTTTAGTGCCCTACCCCCCTAATCTCATTTTGTCAATTTCACAATAAAATTTTCAGTTTTTTAACCGTAACTTCAGATTTTCGAACATAAACCACTCTGGAGATTTTCTTAAACGATGCGCCATTGTCTCCTCTACAACACCTATATAGTCGTTGCCCGTCACAATCTCTTGAAATTGGTCAAAAATTAACTTAAATTGCCCTACCCCCCTTATCTCATTTTGTCAATTTCACAATTTCAGTTACCGTATAGCGGGTTATTTTCGCGGGGTGTAAATTTTCGCTTATTTTCGCGGATAGAACAAAATCGCCAAAATTAATTCAGCTAATTTAAAAGTGCACATGCAATGGTATTGATAAAAGATTTGAATCCGCCAAAAAAATTAACCGCCAAAATATTTTGTATACCTTATTCAATGAAAATCACGAAATTTTACACCCGCGAAAATAACCCGCTATACGGTATTTAACCGTAACTTCAGATTTTCGAGCATAAACCACTCTGGAGATTTTCTTAAACGATGCGCCATTGTCTCCTCTTCAACACCTATATAGTCGTTGCCCGTCACAATCTCTTTAAAATGGTCCAAATTTTTCTTTTAGTGCCCTACCCCCTAATCTCATTTTGTCAATTTCACAATTTCAGTTTTTTAACCGTAACTTCAGATTTTCGAACATAAACCACTCTGGAGATTTTCTTAAACGATGCGCCAATGTCTTCTCTACAACACCTATATAGTCGTTGCCCGTCACAATCTCTTTAAAATGGTCTAAATTTTTCTTTTAGTGCCCTACCCCCCTAATCTCATTTTGTCAATTTCACGATTTCAGTTTTTTTACCGTAACTTCAGATTTTCGAACATAAACCCTTCTGGAGATTTTCTTAAACGATGCACCAATGTCTCCTCTACAACACCTATATAGTCGTTGCCCGTCACAATCTCTTTAAAATGGTCTAAATTTTTCTTTTAGTGCCCTACCCCCCTAATCTCATTTTGTCAATTTCAAAATTTCAGTTTTTTAACCGTAACTTTAGATTTTTGAACATAAACCAATGTTTCTTCAACAACACCTATATAGTCGTTGCCCGTCACAATCTCTTTAAATTGGTCCAAACAACTTAAATTGGCCTACCCCCCAATCTCATTTATTCAATTTCACAATTTCAGTTTTTTAACCGTAAGTTCAGATTTTCGAACATAAACCAATCTTGAGATTTTCTTAAACGATTTGCCAATGTCTCCTCTACAACACCTATATAGTCGTTGCCCATCACAATCTCTATAAGTTGGTCTAAAATTAACTTTGAGTGCCAAACCCCCAAATCTCATTTTGTAAATTTCAGTTTTTTAACCCTAACTTCAGATTTTCGAACTTAAAGTGATCTGGATTTTTTTTCTACACGATGCGTCAATGTCTCCTCTACAACAACTATATAGTCGTTGCCCGTCACAATCTCTATAAATTGGTTCAACATTAACTTTTAGTGCCCTACCCCCCTAATCTCATTTTGTCAATTTCAGTTTTTTTACCGTAACTTCAGATTTTCGAACATAAACTTCTCTGGAGATTTTCCCAAACGATGCGGCAATGTCTCCTCTAAAACACCTATATAGTCGTTTCTTGTAACAATCTATTCAAATTTGTCAAAAATTAACTTAAAATGTCCTATACCCTAATTTCATTTTGTTAATTTCAGTTTTTTTCTACCACAATTTAAGATTTTCGAACATAAACCACTCTGGAGATTTTCCTAAACGATGCGGCACTATCTCCTCTTAAACACCTATATAGTCGTAACCTGTCACAATCTCTATTTATCGGACCAAACAACGTAAAGTGCACCCCCATTCCCTAAAAATGCATTGTGTCAATGTGTTAACTTATGGTCATTGTAATCCAGCTGTCTATTGAATGCCTTATGTGGATTTATTTAGTTAGGAACGAAAAGCTTTGTATTCTTTATATATGAAGTATGGTTTCCTTTTTGTTTTAAGTTAGTTTTTTCGTTTTTGTTTAAGATTGTATGTATTTTTGTATTTTCCTTTTTGTTTTAAGTTAGTTTTTTCGTTTTTGTTTAAGATTGTATGTACTTTCATAATTGTTCGCTAGCTCGAAAAAACGTGATAACCTTATGTGATATTGTGGTTTTTAGTTATACCTCCTAATTGTTCGCTAGCTAATTGTTCGCTACAATTGTTCGCTAGCTTGAGCCAGGTCATTTTTAGTATGAATTTTGTCGCTGACTGGCCAACAGATCTAAGACGAATATCTAACCAAGAAAACGAAACGGAAATTATCAGAACTTGCTGTGGGAGATAATGTCATTATACCAATTCCTCAGTATGATCGTGCCCCAACTGATCCTCGAAATAACTTAGGTGTAATTATTGAATCTGGTGAAGAATTTGGGTACCGCATTGGAACAGCTGTAGTAATTTTAACAGGATATTTGTCGAGAAATCAAATTGAAGCTGTTAAAGACACATCTTTATTCGCAGTAACGGTTCCTGAGCTTCAACTCTCGCTACGTGAAGCAGTTAAAAAGCTTTCAAAAACTGGTGGTCAGCGGTTTCTTTCGTGTAAATGCAAAGGGGTGCAGCACTTAATGTAAATGTAAAAAGCAAAAGATATTGTGCAATTCACGATGCTATAATTCGCTCACATGATCAAACAAATGATACAGAACTATTTTTTGTATTTTGTAAAATAAGGTTTATTGTGTGCATGGTCATTGAATAAAAAAAAATCGTAGTGTGTATCAATGCTTTTTTTTATAATAAAATCCATACTTTAAATTATTGTACAAGTTATAAGTGAATTTTAGTTAAATTTTGTACAAATTGTAATTTGTAATTTGTACAGCCTACAAGCACTTTTTGTACAAAGTCAAAATACATATTATAATTTGTACAATTTTTTTTTGTACAAATTATAATATATACAAAATGATAACTTGTACACAACAGATATATTCCTGGCACAATTGTGATTTTAATTCGCTCTCTTAGTCCGTTCTTAATTCCTTCTTCCTAGCTTTGTTGTGCATTTGCAGGCGGGAAACAAGCGGCATTCGCAATCACGTGGTATCTTTTCTAATCGCAAAGATCATGACATGTTTAGGCTCTAATAAAAAATGCATGTATGAAGACCCAAGAAACATAGTTTTAATAAATTATGCACCATTTTCGTGAATTTACCAAACCAAGATCATCATATTTGTGCTTTCCTAGGGAAATTCCTTCAAAAAGTGTTATTGTATTAAAAGTGTGAAAAGGGAGACAATTCTTACTATACATCTGTACTGAATAAATTATTGATGCAAACTGGGCTTAACCTCTCATCTATAAATAGCCATGATATAAACAATACATAAATAACAATATATATATAAATACAAACATACTGATTCAGTCATAACAGGAAAAACTGTTAGATCAAACAGGTACAATAGTACGGATATTATATTTTGAACAGGTATGTTATAATTTCTACTTTAATGCATTCACATGTATTTGTAAATAAAAATATACTCGATAAAATACGTCACAGTTCATCGACATTTTTACTATTGACGATTCGTTGTTTACAATTTTGTAGTTAAGTCCTGGATCATTAATTGCGGTAAAAATGTGAAATAAACAATTCATATAGTTTGAAAATTTTTAATTCCCCACTTTCTCGAGGATATTATATTTCCTTCATAGTTTGAAATCCAAAACCAAGCATCCCTCTACAGAAGTAAACAATACTGTCCCACTTTTAAATCAGGCATCACTGTCACGTGCACTGGTGCAGAGATATTTTAAAACAGATTTTTGGATAGATAAACCGGTGAAGAGAGACCAAAAGAGCCGAGTTGTGCACATCTTGGATATAAAGTTTCTTTTTAAAAATGTCTCTTAAGGAAGGGAAGCATTATTTGGGATTCCTTAGTTTGTTACAGTTTAAAAAAAAACAGTGCTTGGATATTTAATTTACAAATTATACAAACTTCAATTGTCTCTTCAATCCTTGGGGTTTAATTCTTGCTTTGCGAAAAGGGTTTTCTTAGTTCCAAAATATATAAGTTTTAAAATTAAAGGTATACTTTTTCGATGGGAGTTTAATCTGTAAAATACAACTATATATATCCATCAATATTTAATATTTTGTAGAATAAGTATTGTAAAAAATAATGAACGTTAATGATATCCGTATTGTAGATGTTATGTAGTAGGTTGGTGTGCTGATGGGTTATTCCTTCTGGACCCATACTCTCAACAGAAGAATGTCTCTGTGAGAGTTAGTACTTGATTTTTACATGATGGGGGAACTAGCTGTGAACAATGCCTTTAATAGTGTATTGGATTGCTGCCGATGTAGAGGGGGGGGGGGGGGGGGGGGGGGGGCAGGAGGATTTTGAAAATAAATAACTCAGCCTTGATAATCACAAAATAAATGGTTTGTTCTGTGGTAGTTCGAAAATAAATAACCTGACTTACAATGTATTGAAAATAAATAACTCGGCAGGTCTTTAAGCCTTTTTATAAATGCTATTCGAAAGTATGAGGTGGCACCAGATTCTTCATAAAATTCATCTCACCAATAAGTTTCAAAATTCAAACGTTTTAATAAAATGAATAAAAACAAAATAGAATACAAAACAGTTACAAACAACAATAAAGAAAAAAAAATATTTTCAATTATTTCCCTAATAGAAAACAATAAATATTTCGATAAACTTTATATATGAAAACTTTTAATTATCTTTATTTTAGTTTAACGTGTTTAGAAATATTTTACTTTAAATCTTAATAATTTCAAAATCATGACTTTAATACCTATAAGTTTCAAAATTCAAACTTTGACGTCTCAAGGCAGAATTTTTACTTATATAGCAATTATTTATTTGATGGTATGCCAACATCACTTTCTTTGTCAGCAAAAAATTAGAAATTATCAAATATGGTTATTGTCTGAAATAGGGTTAAAATGTTGTATAAGTAATTGTCCCATATATAATAGAGAGAGAGGTCACTTTAACAATGGTGATCATAAATAAACTTTACTTGACCGGAGAAAAAAATGGGATAAAATGTGATAAACATAAAATTTAAAGAATAATTGTAACGTCATCTATGTCCAAAATATATGTCAAATATCTGTCACAATATAAGCCCCAGTTTTTACCCTGTATGTTTAAAAAATGAAGATATCCATAAAATGTGTATGACTAAAGAGAGAAGAGCTAGAACTCGTTTGAAGTGGTTTTATTTTAACGATGGTGTGGTTTGAAATAACTAATTCTTAATCACTGTTCTTATATGCATATATGTATATATATACCAAAACATTTTCCCAAATTATGTATATATACCAAAACATTTTCCCAAATTATGTATATATACCAAAACATTTTCCCACTGTACATCCTTAATTCTGTTTGGAAATACTGATGGACTAAATGTTGTTTGCTTAGCATCCAGTAGCAGAGGGACCTCGGTGGCCGAGTGGTCTAAGTAGTTACTACTGTAATCACTAGCCAGTCAACACTGAGGTTGTGAGTTCGAACCCCGCTCGTGCGGGTGCACTCGACTCCAATCTTAATTGACTAGGATTGTCAGTTTTCCTATCGAAGGTCGGTGGTTTTCTCCGGGCACTCCGGCTTCCTCCACCAATAAAAACTGGCCGCCACGAAATAGCCCAAAAGCCGGGCTTAAAAGTGGCGTTAAAACACCAAAAATCAAATCAAATCAAAATCAGTAGCAGATATATCATTGATAACCAGACATTCGTCTAATTTTTATACCGCGAAACTACGGGAGTGATAGTAGCACTGGAACTGACTCAAAAGTCACCAGACGAACAGGGTTCTCAATAAGGATTTTTGAAGGCGAGTCCATTTTTTGGCCATGGTGAGTCCAACAGTAAGAAGAAGATATTTTATTGCAATAAAATTTATCATTTTAGTCTCCATGACCTAATAGACTGAGTAATGGAATGACATTAAATTCAGATTTCTTTCAAACTTTTGCTATAAAATGATCATATGTGTGTTTAGTTTATACAAAATATTTCAATCTTGGTGCATCTTTGGACTCACCAGTTTTGAAAGTGGTGAGTCCAGACATATTTTCATGAGTCCTGGACTCATGGACACGCCTTAGTGAGAACCCTGAGAAGGAGCTTATAATATAATAGTAAGCCTAATTATGGTTTTGACCAAGATTTCATGGTTCACCGAACAATGGAAAATGATTGAGCGAAGATGGCATGACAGGGACACATTTTTTTCTTAACTTTTTTTTTTTGGGGGGGGGGGGGGGTTTAGTTTGCCAGAAACGGCAGTGTCATCATGCAGCTATAGTTAATGAAAGTACATATATTTACACAAATTGTAGGTCAACAATTTATACGCAACATGTAAAAATGACAGAACGTATTGGAAATTGTTTGTTGTGTACTGTTATAACAACAAATAATTCTTTTTCAGATGGCTTCAAAGATTAAAAAAGAAGATGTACAGCTGCCAAAACACTTTAAGAAATCTCTGGCATTTGTATTATACAACGTTTTCACGAAAGAGGTAATATATATTTTGAATTGGAAATTAATACACGAAAAAACGCCGCCAAATTCTGATTTGATTTTGATTCGGTTTGGATTAAATAAAATTGAGAATGGAAATGGCGAATGTGTCAAAGAGACAACAGCCCGACCAAAGAGCAGAAAACAGCCGAAGGCCACCTATGGGTCTTCAACACAGCGAGAAAATTCCGCATCCGGAGGCGGGCTTTAGCTAGCCCCTAAACCAAAATGTGCACTAGTTCAGTGAAAATGAACTTCATATTAAACTCCAATACATACAAGACTAACAAAGGCCATACAGAAGCTCCTGATTTGGGAAAGGCGGAAAAATGCGGCGGGGTTAAACATGTTTAGTGAGATCTCAACCCTCCCCCTATACCTCTAGCCAATGTAGAAAAAAACAAACACACAGCGATACGCACAGTAAAACTCAGTTTAAAAGAATGTATATTTTTCAATACTATCATTGTACAGCGATAAAGTACATGTTTTTAAAAAGTTATAATTTATATATTATTTTATCGACTGAATGTTATCATCTCCAAGTCCAGTGGAAAATATTTCTGGCATATTCAGGACGAAAACAAATATATGATAATCAATAGGTGGGTTTTGCAAATAAAATGTGTCCACCTGGTTGAAGGATGAAATTTTTAGACTGCCACTGATAATCAAAGGAGTGTAGGATATGAGCTTTTTTACAAAAGGCCAACTACAAAGGTTCTTCGACGTGTAGAGAGTGCGAAGTTCTTTCTGCACAAGGTATCGGAATTAAAGCCCAATTCCAACTGGACGTGGTTGTGTGTTATATATTTCGCAATAAAAAAACAAACTATGCTTTTGTTTACCGTATGGGTTTTATTGCCAGTTCGGAGAAGTCCAGGTTACTATAGTCTTTACGACAGTGAACCATTGGGATTATCAATATAGAAAAAAATGTTCGAAAGGTGAATCTTTGGGGAATATAAGTTTTGAAGAAATTAAGGTTGTCATAGAGACAATATGTTTGTTTTAGTTGATTTGATTTGTATCTCGGTATGGTATTGCGAGTTATAACTCGGTGTGAAACAGAATAATTTGTTTTATGAAAAAGAATTGTACACATTTTGACAAATTTTGCAGATTCAAAGGCATTTCACATAAAAATGATAAATCAACCATATATGAATATTTGTTTTCAGGAATGTGAAGAATACATAAATATCGCAGAGAAAAAAGGTTTTGAAGAGGCACTTCTTAATGCTGGAGGAGATAGGTAAAAATACACGAATATTTTATCAAATAGCTGTGATTGACATGTGTTTTTTTGCATAGAGCGGGTATTGATAGATGAAATTAACTTTTTAACCGTGAGTTTTGAATTCAAAATTGTTCATCAAATGTTTTACGCAAAACGTAAATTAGTCTGGGAGAAGAAAATGTACGAGTCAACATGAAATCTATCATGATGTCATTCTATTTATAGCTGACGCCATCTATAATGCTATCTCAGGAAAAAATCGGCGGGCGTTTCGACCAAAAGTACACAATCTTAAATCTTGCGATCAGACTCTTTTTGGGCGAATTTAGGATAATTGAATGATAGATACGCCGGAACGTTGTCATTGTGCCTGATCCCTTTCTTGTTAAATCAAGAACGATAAACCAATAAAAAATCAAGTGTAGTTTATACCATGCTTCAAAAAGATATAAAATAAAAAGGTATGGATCAGGGAGTTTTCTTAAATACAAGTTGTGTACATTTTTTAGATTCTGTATAGATTATACATGGACAAAGCAATTTTGTTCCTGTGAATAGAAAGAAAACCAAACAATATCTATTTTAAACAAAATATGAGAAGATATATTAACTCTTTTTCTTCATTCACATGAAATATTGGTATTACTAACGAATTGCATTCCTTTCTCAAAATTTAAATAATTCATCGAATAGACTGATTTTTTTCTGCTGTTTTACAATCCAAGATGGCGAAAGACACCTGATTTACTTAAAATTGAAACAATTGTAATATTTGATAAAAACGGCCTTCAACAGCATTGTTTATGGTTAGATAATATTTGAATGAAATGATTCTTTTCGAAAGACGTGTAGAAATCTGTTATTTATTATTAATTTAATGTTTACACTCCGCTAGCTTTTCAAGAATGCCAATGTGTGTAATACAAATTGTGTGTCAACCAGGTTAGTTAGGGGATCGAGGGTAGGCGCCATCAAACTAGTTTAACCTCACCACATTCTACATGTGCCTGTCCCAAGTCATTAGCCTGTATAATTCAGTGGTTGTCGTTTGTTGCTGTGTATCATATTTGTTTTTCGTTCATTATTTTGTGTTTAGATAAGGCCGTTAGTTTTCTCGTTTGAATTGTTTTACATATGTCATTTCAGGGCCTTCGATAGCTGACTATGTGGTTTTGCTCATTGTTGAAGGCCATACGGTGACCTATAGTTGTTAGTTTCTGTGTCATTTGGTCTCTTGTGGAGAGTTGTCTCATTGGCAATCATCCAACATCTTTCTTATTTTTATAGATACAGGGGAAGGAGCCATATACCCTTTTCTCCATAAATATGTTTAACGTGTAATAAAGAGTTCCGTAAAGAAAATGGTTTGCCGAAATCTTAAAGGGGACATCAATACAACAAACAATTTTGTTAAATAGCATGCTTAAAAATACAAAACTGATTATTTACAGACAAGTATTAGCCACAGATGTAAGAAAGAGTTCAAGATGCATATGGGATACCACTGAAGAGGTTGATAAGATGTGGAAAAGAATAAAAAAATATATTCCTGATGTATGGTGTCACAGAGAGGTGATGGGATTGAATGAAAGGTGCAATATTTTAGGAAAATTCATTTTTTGAAACAAACCTTTTTATTTCCAATAATAATTATATATGAAAAAAAGAGAGGATATGGTATGATTGCAAATGAGACAACTCTGCATATACACATATAAATTTTTATTTCAATTTATTTAGTAATAATTCTTATAGGATTTGCATGTTAGGGAAAACGTTTATATGATTGGTCGAGAGGACTTCCGGTAGTGGTTCTTGACGTTGTTTATTTTTCGATAGACGACGTTGACCGAACTACTTTTTTTTACCAATCTAAACAAGATGGCGACGATAATAACACAATCCGGATCGACGTTGAAAATAATTATTTTCACTTCACGTTAATCGTTATATCAAATAATAAACACAAAACATTCATTTGAATGATAATAAGATGTTTTTGTAGTTTATTTTTTATCATATAGCAAATTTCATGGAGTACATATTTTTGCGTTCACCACTGAACAAATATATTCATGCGCCAGGCCAATTCTATGACACAAATATACACTTTACATGTGATAGAGATTACGAGTGACAAAATAAATTCCTTATCTCCAGTTTTAAAGAATTATAAGTATTAAACACCTTTTTAAAGGAATTTATTGGTGTATAAACTGGACCAAGTCACTCACAAACATATCATAAAAGTCCGAAGGACTTTTATGATATGTTTGTGAGTGACTTGGTCCAGTCGGACTTTTATGATATGTTTGTGAGTGACTTGGTCCAGTCGGACTTTTATGATATGTTTGTGAGTGACTTGGTCCAGTTTATACACCAATAAATTCCTTTAAAAAGGCGTTTAATCCTATAGAATTTTATGCATTCTTAAAACTTTAAAATCTGACGAACAAAACTCTATCGTGAGTGTTCAGTTACTCATTCAATCGCATGGTTGAAATTGGAATAAATCAGAATAATTCAATTGGACAAGAAATAGCCATGATCAATTAAATACCGCAATAATACATGGATCAAGTTTATTTGGAAGACAATTTCTACGAGAGGAAATTCAATCGAAGCAAAAAAATCTTTCTGATTTCTTTTCAGAGTCAGAATGGGTTAATGCTAACGATGTTTAAAATAATGAAGATCGTTTAACAAGGATACCCTCATGTGTAGTCAATTAAACACCCCCTAGTAGTAGTAGTATAACAAGGGTGTTTAAACAAGGAAAAACATATAAGAATAGTAGCCAAATTTTTGTAAGAATGGCGGTACCAGAAACAGTTTAAAAATTAAAATTTTGCAAAATCTGGAAGCTAGTCGGCTGTAAATTTGATGATAAGAAAAAGGACGACAAAATTCAAGGTCAATGCCGAACAATAACAAATAGACACTTGATACACTTTAATTGGGAGCTGCCAAATTTCAGTTTTGGAATGGGATGCCAATTTAATTATGAGGTTTATTAAATACGGGGTCGCAGCGGGATCGTTAACTCCGGAGTCAAAATTTGGCATAACCTTACCCGTATCAAAAACTTAAAAGTAATGACATTACATGCAAACCAGTTTAGTAAACTCTTCATCCTATTTTTAGTGGGAATACATGTATTGTGATAAAGTAATTTAGCTTTTTTATCATTTCAAAGTCACAGTTACACTTGAAGTAAGGTCTAAATTCATTTACTTTTTTATCTTTTAGATTAAGAATTCTTAGATATGATCCAGGCGAATATTTCAAACCTCATTATGATGGCTCGTATAAACGGGATAATGGAGAGAGAAGTTATGTGACTGTCCAGATCTATCTGAACGAGGTAAGTTTAGAAGACTTCTTTAATTACCTATGTGGCCGAGTGGTCTTAGTAGTCGAACTACTGTATCACTAGCTTGTCAACACTGAGGTTGTGAGTTCGAATCCCGCACGTGGCAGGTGCACTCGACTCCAATCTTAATTGACTAAAACTGTCAGGTTTCCTACCGAAGATCGGTGGTTCTCTCCGGGCACTCCGGCTTCCATAACCAATAAAAACTAACGGCAACGAAATAGCACAATAGTAATGAAAGTGGCATTAAACATCAATCAATCGATCAATCAAAATTATTAGTTAACCATGGCAGAGTCGACTGTATGTGATCTAAGAGTTAGATGAAAGGAGGATTGAAAGTGTGGTAATAATATATGTATGTGTATAAAATACATTTGTTTGACCTATATTAGTGACATATTTGACCGAAATTGGCCATTTCATACATTCTTTTTAGCAAAACTTGTCTATAATGAAAGAATTCTAGAGAACTGATGAAAGATGTTATTCAAATTTTGATATATATGTACTATTTTGAGGTTCAAATTTAATGGACCATAACCCTAGAATCGAATAGAATCAAATTATTTGATATAAACTTTTATTTGATGAAATTGATTTACAGGGGTTTAAAGGTGGAAGTACAACATTTTTAGGAGTTAATTCAGATGAACGAGTTGAAGTTGTACCAAAAACAGGTAAATATCTATTAAAATAATCAGAAAAATGACAAAATTATATCATTATTCTATTCAAAACCTGCTTTTAAGATATGCACATGACATTCAGAGCTTTTTTCAAACGGTGAACTAGACGTACAGTAATTTAATTTTAGATATATGACATGAATGAAAATGGTAGCTATAAACAAACAACAACTGAAAAAAGTATAATATATGGTCTTCATATAAAATGTCTATTATATTCTCAAACATGAATTACACGCTCTGCAATGATCTTTTCTAGGGGCGGATAAAGAATTATTGAAAAGGGGGAAGGGGGGGTGGGGGTGGGGGCGGCGTTATTCTATAAAAAACTGAATGAATACAGCTGAGCGTAGCGAGGCAAAACATAATAAAAAGGACAATTGTTTGCTTCAAATGATTTATTTTCGAATTAAAAGGGGGAGACTTTGTTATGTTACCTTTTTTTTGTTAAGTAAAAGATTTTCAGATTGTTTTTTTTGTCAATATTTCGAATTTTTATTACCAATTTAAGGTAGATCACGTTTCTTCCGCCATTGGATTGTAAGGTGGTTTTAACATTCTGAACCACAATTCAGACCTTCTGCGAGTTATATGAAACAAGGTCCTGCAATTCTTTTACAGTGAAATTTTATTCCTTCAACAATTACCAGAAAATAAACCCTTTAAATCATGTGTATAAAGGCATATTTTGGTCTTTATAAAAATAAGGAGATGTGGTATGATTGCCAATGAAATAACTATCCACCAAAGTTCAAATAAAGTTGATGTAAGCAATTATTGGCAACCGCACGGCCTTCAACAATCAGAAAAACCCATACCGTATAGTCGGCCCTTCACTCTTTTGTCCCTCTTTACTTCCACTGCAATGGTTGACTAGCATGTAGAAATATGGCCACCCGTACTTCTCTAATCCGGCGGTAAAGCCTTTGCTAAAGAAGGATGTCTATTTTTCGGTATGGGATATATAAAAAAACGAAGCCAAGTCCACTAAGTGCCGGGACTATAAATCAGATGCCCTGTTTACGGAAAGTGCCAAGCCCTTTGTACTTAAGAACTATTTCATCAACTCACCAAGAGGTTCGCATGTGGCATAATGAAAGGTAAAATGTCCATCTCATGTAATTGTGGCATTCGAAATTTCCTACCAATAGAATTTATTGTTAACTGGCCCCCTCCTGAAAATGCATGACATATCTACCAAAAGACATTAACCGAAAAATCAATACATGATTAATCAATCAAAATGAACAATTATTACTGCTGTGAACTGTATGTACTTTTGCATATTTTTTCTAGGTTCTGTCGTAGTTTTTGAACTGTATTTTTTGGTGTATCTTTTTAGGCTCCGTACTGGTTTTTGAACATCCTATACTTCATGAAGGATCCGAACTTATTGCTGGAAGAAAATATACAATAAGGACAGATGTAATGTATTCATCTGAAATAACAGAAGCTTCAACAACTGATAAAACTAAAAAAAAGTCGAATTTTCTTAGTAAACTATTTGGGTGATTTTTATACGACCGCAAAAAAATTTTTGTGGTCGTATATTGGTATGACGTTGGCGTCGTCGTCGTCGTCCGGCGTCGTCGTCCGAAGACGCATTAGTTTTCGCACTCTAACTTTAGTTTAAGTGAATGGATCTCTATGATATTTTACCATAAGGTTCAATACCACAAAAGGAAGGTGGGGATTGATTTTGGGGGTTATGGTACCAACAGTTAAGGAATTAGGGGCCAAAAATAAGCATTTTCTAGTTTCCAGACAATAACTGTGGAACGGTGTATGGATCTCTCTGAAATTATACTACAAGTTTCCATACCACAAAGGGATGGTTAGGATTTGCTTTGGGGGGTTATTGCTCAAACCGTTTAAGAATTAGGGGCAAAAAAGGGGGAAAAACAAGGTTGTCCTCATTAATGGACAAATACTTTAGTACAAAACATAATTTAAAGCAGTGTAAGGGAGATAAATCAAATACATCATTGAAATTATCTCCCTTACACTGCTTTTAAATTATGTATAAAGTAATGGTTAATGAACAATTAGGATAATTTAAAACAGTGTAAGGGAGGTAATCCAAATACAACGTTTTGGTTACTTCCCTTACACTGCTTTTAAATTATGTTTAAAGAAATGCATATTTATAAAGGAAGACCAGTATGGCGCATTAGATTTGTAAAATCTTTGACCACATTTATTTATTTGTTATGCCGAATCTAACCGTGTATTTAGATTTTTAATTTTGGGTCCAGTTTTCAAATTGGTCTACATTAAGGTCCAAAGGGTCCAAAATTAAACTTTGTTTGATTTTAACAAAAATTTAATATATGGGGTTCTTTGATATGCTGAATCTAAACATGTATTTAGATTTTTGATTTTTGGCCCAGTTTTCAAGTTGGTCCAAATTGGGGTCCAAAATTAAACTTTATTTGATTTCAACAAAAATTGAATATATGCGGTTCTTTGATATGCTGAATCTAACCATGTATTTAGATTTTTTATTTGTGGACCCCGTTATCAACTTTGTCCACATTGAGGTCAAAAGGGTCCAAAATTAAACTTTGTTTGATTTCATCAAAAATTGAATTATTGGGGTTCTTTGATATGCCGAATCTAACCGTGTATTTAGATTCTTAATTTTTGGTTCCGTTTTCAAATTGGTCTACATTAAGGTCCAAAGGGTCCAAAATTAAACTTAGTTTGATTTTAACAAAAATTGAATTCTTAGGGTTCTTTGATATGCTGAATCTAAACATGTTTTTAGATTTTTGATTATGGGCCCAGTTTTCAAGTTGGTCCAAATCGGGGTCCAAAATTAAACTTTGTTTGATTTCAACAAAAATTGAATATATGGGGTTCTTTGATATGCTGAATCTAACCATGTATTTATATTTTTGATTTTTGGGCCCCGTTATCAACTTTGTCCACATTGAGGTCAAAAGGGTCCAAAATTAAACTTTGTTTGATTTCATCAAAAATTGAATTCTTGGGGTTCTTTGATATGCTGAATCTAACCATGTATTTAGATTTTGGATATTGGACCATAATAGGTGAATGTCCAATTTAAAATTTTTAAGTTCTTAGACCACATTCAATCTGTGTTAGAAACCTATGCTGTGTCAAATATTTAATCACAATCCAAATCCAAAGCTGTATCAAGCTTGAATGTTGTGTCCATACTTCCCCCAACTGTTCAGGGTTCGACCTCTGCGGTCGTATCAAGCTGCGCCCTGCGGAGCATTTTATTAGGTAATAGATCTCTATGAATTTTTACCAGAAGGTTCAATACCACGAAAGGAAGGTTGGGATTGATTTTGGGGGTGATGGTACTAACAGTTTATGAATTACTGGCCAAAGAGGGGCCAAAAACAAGCATTTTTGTAGTTTCCGGACAATAATTTGTGTTTTTAAGTGTATGGATCTCTCTAAAATTGTACTACAAGGTTCCATATCATTAAAAGAAGGCTGGGATTGAGTTTGGAGGTAATTATTCCAAAAAAAGGGGGGGGGGGGGGGGTTCAAAAAGTTTGGTGATTTTTTTTTTCAAATTTTTTATTTGCGTCGTATAATGCTATGACGGCGTCGTAGTCTGCATACGTCGTCGTCCGAAGATACATTTGGTTTCCGGACAATAACTTTAGATTTTAGGTAATGGATCTTTCTGAAATTGTACCACAAGGTTCCATATCAAATAGGGAAGGCTGGGATTGAGTTTTGGGTTCATTGCCCCAAACGTTCAGGAATAAGGCCAAAAAAGGGGCCAAAAACAAGCATTTTTCTAGGTTTCCAGACAATAACTTGTGTTTAAGTGTATGGATCTCTCTAAAATTGTACTACAAGGTTCCATACCATTAAGGGAAGGCTGGGATTGAGTTTGGGGGTTATTATTCCAAAAAGGGGGGGGGGGGGTCCAAAATGTTGGGGGATTTTTTTTCAAATTTTTTTGGGGGGTTCATTTTTTTTCTTCTAAATTTTTTTCAAATTTCAAACTTTTGAAATCTTCAATTGCACAGTATTGCGCAATAGCAAGAAATCTTCAATTGCACAGTATTGCGCAACAGCACAGTATTGTACAATAGCACAGTATTTTGCAAAAGCAAGAAATCTTCAATTGCACAGTATTGCGCAATAGCACTGTATTGCCCAATAGCACAGTATTGCGCAATAGTAAGAAATCTTCAGTTGACAGTATTGCGAAATAGCACAGTATTGTGCAATATCACAGTATTGCACAATAGCACAGTATTGCGCAATAGCAAGAAATCTTCAATTGCACAGTATTGCGCAATAGCAAGAAATCTTCAATTGCGCAGTATTGGGCAAAAGCACAGTATTGCACATTAGCAAGAAATCTTCAATTGCACAGTATTGCGCAATAGCAAGAAATCTTCAATTGAAAACAAATACAAATGTTTTAACCAATTTCGATGGGATTAATTAAGTGTTTAATTTTTGGGGGTTCTAACCTTGTATAATTTTTTGGATATTGGGCCCCATTTTTAAATTGGTCTACATTGAGGTCAAAAGGGTCCAAAATGAAATTTTGTTTGATTTCATCAAAAACTGAAGTATTTCGGCTGTATGATTTGCTGAATCTTATTGTGCATTTAGATTTTTATTTTGGGCCCTGTTTTCAAATTGGTTCATATTAAGGTTTGTAGGGTCCAAAACTAAACTTAGTTTGATTTCAACTAAAATTAAATTATTGGTATTTTTTATATGCTGAATCTAACCATGTTGTTAGATTTTGGATATCAGACCATTCTAGGGTAAATTAAATGTCCCATTTCAGATTTTTAAGATCTTTGACCACATTTATTTTGTGTCAGAAACCTATATTATGCCCAAAATTTGATCACAATCCAAATCAGACAGTATCAAGCTTGAATATTGTGTCCAAACTTGACCCAACTGTTCAGGGTTCGACCTCTGCGGTCGTATCAGGCTGCGTTCAGTGAGGCATTTTATTGCAACTGTATTAAATTTTTAAATTGTGAATTGATGATCAACTCTGTGATACTAGTCATTATTTAAATGTTACTCGTTTATGATGTTGTCAGTTATAAGCTTAAAGTTTATTTTGTTACATGTGTATTTTATACCCAATGTTATATTTCTTAATCCTCTATTAGATTATATTGAAGTAGGTGTTTTGTAAACTTAGTTATTATTGCTTTATATTAAAGTAAAAATTTGTGTAAACTTGTTTTATTTACAAATGCGAAGCAGCTATGCATTTGTGTAGAGCTTCCATCTCTGCTGGTTGAGTGATAGTCCCTGTTTGTATCACCAGTCCAGTAGCCAGTTCTTCGGTACTGACACATTGAGAAAAACGAATATACTAGTAGTTTAATTAAAATTTGATGTATGCCTCGAGCATCACTGAGGAGAAAAATGTTGAAATGCGCATCTGATGCAGCAAAATTGGTAGCGTTAATGATATTGAAGTACTAATTTTAGCTCAATAAGGAAACGTAATTGTCAAGTTTCGGATCTGTTTTCACTCCCGTTTTTGTTATATCTTCAAAATGTTATTTTATCGTATTCTGAAACAACCGAAAACGATAAAAAAATAAATATTGCTAAATTTTAATTGTTACCCTAACATCCAGTAGCAAATATTTCATTCATATCCAGGACAACAAATTGACAATAAATCCAATTGGTAAATAGACTAGGATGAAGTGTAAATAGAAGGTTTGTTTGATAAGGAAGAAAGTATACTTAGTCAAGTCTGTGTTACTATTTTGGAGCCCTTGTTCAATTGTACCTTGGATTATTTACAATTATTCAAACCTGTGATTATAAAGTATCTTTCCTCTGCTTTGCTTACTAATTTCCTTAAACAATACGTGACCGCGAATTGGATGGTATATGTGTGCTTTTATACAGTTGAAATACACTTATGAAATATTAAATTGTTATTTTGGATATTGTATCCCCCGGCTTCACCATATTTGAGAGATTCCGAGTTAAATAGATGCCAAAGCAAACATTTTGACTTTCAGATTATGTCTTAATATTTACCAAAAATATTGTTGATGACAGTAAAATGGTGTAAGGAATGATATTCTGCTTTCTTTCGGTTGTATTGTGTTTGATTCATCTCTCTCTTGACAGGACCATATAACAATTAATCAATAAATTTTACAGAGCTTTAGATTTAACGGTTTCCGAACTTTTCGAAAAACAATTTTCCTGAAATGTTATTTTGATGCATCCTGATTAGTCAGCCTATATTTCGTAGACACGAACTGCTAATAACCCTTCCGATGCACCCGAGGTCACATCCGGTTTTAGGTGGAGTTCATGTTGTTTGTGAACTATTGTCTATCTTTTCTTATTTTGTTGTCGATCGATTTTCTTTGACTTGCCATCGTTATTTCTTCTTACATTTATATAACATTGTAATTTTATACTTTTCTTTGTGAAATGTTTTAGAAGGCTGCCGTTTGTCTCCCTCGGGATTCTTTACTTAAAGGATAGCTTGGGTTAATACGTGTGGCTATTTGAATTACAATGCGTGGTAGAAACATCATGGCTTCATGTTTTGTGAAATGTTATTTATTACTTAAAAAGTTAGTGAACTTAAATTTATTTATAAGTCCCTACAAATAGACAACTTTCAATACACCAAAGGAATTTTTTATCAGACCTCTTCATATTGTAGTAGATTTGAAAACACAATATTTATTATGGAAGTGTCGGAAGGAAGAAAATATAAACCATTACAATTTATTTCCAACAAGTGTTTTAACAGTGTTAACAATTGAACGTGATTAAAACGTTCAGCTGATTTTTACAGAGTTATCTCCCTGTAGTTTTATGTACCACATTAATTCCAGACAATGTACCTTTTTTCAGTTCTTGCTTATCTTACATTGCTGTGTTGATTGTCTGGTTGTATCCTTTTAATTTTGGAGAATAACTTAGCTGTATTTATTGGATAATTTGGTTTACAATTAATGATCTATCATTTGTGTAAATAACATTCAAATCTTTTGTCTTGCACATGCAGCAGAAATCAACACAATAAACTACATTTCTGTCTTTGAATAATAGATCTAAGTGTCTTGGGTGAATAAGATGGATGTTTCTGGTGTAACATAAAACTGAATAATGTGTCAATGAGACAGCAAGACCATGGGGTCAAGACCATCCATAATGGAAATTTCCTAAAGAAAATATACAAACAAGTCAACAATACAAAGCATAGAACAGCAAAGTTTTACCAACATGAACCCTATCAAAAACTTAGGGTTAACTCAAGTGGTAATAAAGGTCCATTGGCGGATCCAGGGGGTGTTCTGGGGTTGGAAACACCCTTTTTCAAAATGTCTGGATCCACGCCTGTGGCAATTCCTACTCAACTAGTGCTTAAAATGATGTATTATAATAAGCAATGTTGCTTTCCATCACGTTGTCTTTTTCTGAATTTTATGCCGACATGCGAGACATTATCTCTGTGTCAACAGTTTATCATCGTATTAGAGTTACACTTTGAGCAAAATAAAGCTTCAGATAATATACTAAAAACATGCCTATTGTTGAAGACCATTTGTTGACCGTGATTGTTACTGAAGAAGAGTGACCTAGATTTTATTGTCTTACCTCAGGTGATTGCTACTGAAGACAACACTTATATATGTTTAACTATTTCTAGTGTAAACCATTTTTGTCTCGCCTTGACGGAGTCAAAAAGCGAGACATAGGTATGCTGTTTCCGGCGTCGGCGGCGGCGGCGTCAACAATGTATTAGTTTTTGATCAATGACTAAATGGAAAATTTGTATTACCAAGGTGTTGTGAGGTTATCTTCTGTTTAATTTAAGGAAAAGGTCAGCTTCTATTATATTTGGTTGGTAGAAACATGTCTGTCTTGCAGGGTTCACCTCAACTCACCTTGATCTTTGATTTATTAGGTAGGCATGTAAAAATAAGAAGATGACGTGGTATGATTGCCAATGAGAAAACTCTCCACAAGAGACCAAATGACATAGAAATTAACAACTATAGGTCACCGTACGGCCTTTAACAATGAGCAACACCAATACCATGTCCATCTGACAGGATTTACCTGACCTTGAACTCATATTAATGGATCATTTATTCAGTATAGTGACATGTAATAAGATTTTGATATCAAAGACTGTCTTTAACTAAGCAGAGATGTGCTATTTGTTTGTCACATTGGTTTTCATTGACATTATTAGCTTAAAGAGAGAATATAGAAAAATATAATAATGATAGGATACAAGGGTAAACTCATGCAGTTAACACAATGTGTATATTTTTTAGCTTCATTATGACACAAGATACAGTTTTGTACACAGGATTAAAAAATGTTAAGGTACAAGAAGTAGTCGGATACTTGTATACACGTTTGGGAAGTTAAGCCGCTCTCTGTGTTTAGGGTTCACAGATGTTATACCTTAGCTCTAGGTATAGTAACGTCCCCTACCATACGTACGAAGTATCCACTATTACTAGTACAAACTGAGTGAGGG